TGCCAGGATAGTACCATTTATAGTTACCATTTTTTATTTTCAGTTGTCTTAAACGCGCAAAACCAGTGGCACGTGTACTTACTTCCATCAGAATATTGCCTATTGGAACGTTTCTGTCAGCAAAGAGGGTATGGTATTCCTTACGTTGCTAAATATCACAAAAGACAAAGAGTATCTAAATCATTTACATTTAAAATCAAGAGGTACAGAAACAATAAATTTACCTTCACATTTTATATCATTGCCTTCCCAAAATCCAGTTGACTTACAGATCCTTAAAGCGTCTCCTGATACATTTTTAAACCGTTCAAAACATTGATAATACCATACCGATCCTTCTGTAGTAGAAAGATTACTTGTTGAAATATTGACTTCACGGTAGGCGTTCAGGATATCTGGTGGATCACCGCAATCAACTTCTAAAATCGAAATAAAATTTGAACATAATATAACCTGGACGATGGAATGAATTATAGACTGTTTACGGAAGGTAGAGTTGAAATATGATTCTCTTCTCAATAATTAGTTATGCTATGTTCTTATTCATTAGAATAAAATAATTACATTTTACAATTCAAGAGTCACTAAAGATAACAGTCACTAAAGAAGTTAAACAAATTAACATCCATTTGAAAAACTGCCTCTTTGGAATTTACTTCAGATTTAAAAGCGGAAAGGTTTTTTTTCTATAAAATAATTTCACTTTTTCACAAGTTTTAATTCTCTGTACTTATATTTTTGTGTGTTTTTAAGTTGCCTCGAGAACTGATTGGTTTCATCATACATCATACATTTATGTCCATTTTTACATCAAATTGTAATTCTTTCATTCTATCATTGAAACTGTAATACTGCTAGAATAAAACACTAAATGATATTGTAAACTGTTTTGTAGACTATTTTATTAAGCATGAACATACCCGAAAATGTTTTTAAACCCTATAAAAGCACATTACACCATACCTGTGAACGCTGAATTCATTTGTAAAAATAATAGAACTCCATTTAACGCACTCTTATAGTACCACATTTTATATCCAATAGTGAAATGCATCCTACATTACTATGGAATTACAGGGTATATGCCTCGAAATACTCATCATATGGATCAAATAAGGGTCTTGATCTCATGAGTTCTCTTAAAAGTTACCGACTCAACTAGAGCTCTGCGGAATTAATTTCTTTATATGTCTTTTATTCTTGACATATATTCCAACTTAACAATGGATTTTCAGAAATGAAAATGAGATTGAAAGTTGTTGATTACCATGTTAATCAACATTGGACACAAAAACATAGCGTGACAATTCTGCATTGACAACTCAACCTAGAATTGATTATAAAAGCTCTATTCAATGAAGTTGTTGTTAATCACGCCAATAATAATGTAGTGTTGAATATTCCAAGATATGAATTATTCCTTATATTATCGCTTTATTCGCTTTCAATATTTATGAGATCCTCGACAAGATTCATTCTGTCAAAACTTTGAATAATTTCGACTTGTCATCATACAGGATATGATGTTATTATCGGATAGAATTTAATAAAATTTGTTTCATTATAATTTAATTATTCTTTCTATTTAGTTTTAAGATTTTTTCTGTCCAACTCATAGATGATCATTCATGAACTCCATTCTTCAGGTCGATTTATCGAAAAATCGAGTCTAACCAATGCCGTAATATTCATTAGCTGTTCTTAAAGGGGTGATAAGCAACAAATATGGATTACTTTGTGATCATTGGTATTAGAGGTATCCTATTCAAAAGGATAAAGATTTTACAGTAGCAAGGTTTCTTTCCCAAAATAAGCTCTTGCAAATTCTCCTTTAAGGAATCTGACCTCGCCATATTTTGACCGATTTGAAGCATAGATCCTGAGCAGATTACAGAAATCATTTTAATGTCATTTCGTTGTTGAATCCTATTTCGTTGTTTAATCCTATTTCGTTGTTTAATCTTATTTCGTTCTTATTTGATTACAAAGGCTGTGGCATAGAAAACATTCATTGACGAAACACAGTACCTTCAACATATAAATTTTTATTCATAAAAATAATTTTCATCAATTAGTAATAAAATGAAGAACATGACGTTACATTAATAAGACATCAGCTAAATCACAAATAGGAAACATAAAACATTCTTACTATTTGAAGAAATTATTAACATAACATTGACATTAAAAAAAAAACATTATTCATTGTTATGTTCTACAAATAACCAAATTCTGGCTCTAAATTACATTTTTCTTTTCCTGGTTATATTAATTTGTGATATTGACCTATTGTAGTACATTTTATTTTAAAATTATAATTAATTAATGTAATTAAAATTCTATATTAACAGTAATATTATGATTTAAATCCTAACATTTGACAAGACATTAAATTATAATTTGTCACATATTACAGATTATGACAAGTGGTCTATAACAGGTTATATTAATGGCTATAATCTGTCAAGTGTTCTATAACAGGTTATATTACTGGCTATGATCTGTCAAGTGGTCTTTAACAGGTTATATTACTGGCTATGATCTGTCAAGTTTTCTATAACAGGTTATATTACTGGCTATGAGCTATAATGTGTTATATAACAAGTTATATTACTGGCTATGATTTGTCAAGTGTATTAAAACAGGTTATATTACAGAATATGGTCTGTCAAGTGTGTTTAAAACAGGTTATATTATTAACTGTCAAATGTGTTATGACAAGTAATATTACTAGTAGCTATGATTTTCTTTGTATATCTAATAATTAAAATTTCATACTGAATTACAGACTAAAAAAATAAATTCTAAAAAACAATCTGGCTAGAATCTAAATCATTAAAACTATTTGATTAAAACGAAACATAAAAATCTGCACCTCAGAAAAAAAAGATTTGCTTTATACTGGCCAGCATGCAAAATCCCTTAACAAAAATATAGTTTAAAAGTAAAGCCTATACAGAAAGTCTAAAATGAACACAAAAATAGAACTATTTACATTAATGTTACCTGTTTCTTTAAACTTTGTACAATACCGGTATAGTTTATATCTTTTATTTTTCTGGTTTTTTTGGTAACAGAAAAAACTTATTGTATTTTTCATAAAATTCTTAGAGTAACATAAACTAAAGTGCAAAAATTAACAAAAGGTTGAAATGATAACATTTGAATCTGAACTTTGAAATTAAAGGTGCTAAATTAGAGCTTAATTTGGCGGCATAAGCACTGAGTATCCACATGTAAGCTCTCTCAACTTGAAGAACAAGATATTTAGCAGCCACATCCCTTTTAATTTAAATTTTTTTCAGTTTAAATTTGAGGTTGTAAGTAAGAGCTTAATTTGACAGCAGATGCAGAGAGTATCCACATGTAAGCTCTCAACCTCATATGTCATGTATCAGAGTTCATATTACCTTTAATTTATTCTAAATTACAACCTTTAAATATCCTACCTACTCTAAATTATAATTCAACAAAAATAATATAGTTTTCTTATAATACTTAAAAATACATGTGAAGATAAAAACTGGCCTATTTGTAATATGACAACCCTTCAGAAAGGTTGCTTCAAGATTCTTAGCCTCTTTAAGTAACATCTTGAGGTAATTTACTAATTAATTCTTTTCTTATAGTTTTTAAATATTAGAAATAGATAATTAATACCTAATTAACAATAAAACTAGAAGCTTTTTTAAAGGAATTGTAGAGAAGTTTCTTAACTCTATCTGTTTAATGGGTACAAAATGTTAGCAGCTTTTTTAAATTGCCAGAGACGTCTGACAAGTTGAAATGGTGGAATTGTTGCTATCAGTGTCCCTGATACACATAAAAATTTTAGAAAACCTCTTTACAATGGGACGCCAGATGGACAAAACCTGTCACAAAAAAAAGAAACTGAAGGATTTTCAAGTGGAATGATAACACAATTGCAAGTCTTTAAACAAAAACAAAAAAGGTAAGAAACATAACAAAACGATGCAATTGTCACCTATATATTAATAAATTCATTTTGTCATTCATAATATTATGAATTTGTCAAATCATACAAAAATAAGTGTTTGAGTTCTCCATAATTATCAATCACTTTACAAGTTTTTCTTTTAGGACTCTTTCTAAGAAGTGTATAACGGAAAAACTATTTTTTTTTAAGAACTATTTTTGAAAAAAAAAAAATAATTAGCCAGTTGAGGGGTTAAGGTACATCAATATCTTTCCCAATCTAAAAAAATAATAATAATAATTTCATTGCACTGCACTCTCAGTCCATGATCCGAATACATTATTTTTCTTTCTTAATGTCAAGTTTAATCAACTGATTGTGTCATAATCATACTGACCAATCAGAAACACTTTTAAAATGGGCTGACATTAAAGTCAATGTTTATCAGTGAATATTCCAGAATACCTTGCATGACTTTTACGGAAGAGTGTAATTGATTGGTTGAATATTTTGGAAGGTAACATACAAATTATACAGATCATGTATGGAAAAGGGAGTCACCAACAAAAACTCTGGACCTTTACCACTTAGTACTTTTGCTGCTCACATGGCAAAGTGACTCATAATTATGGAAAACCCATCTATATCTTTAAACATAAGATATCTTATAAGATAGTGGATTTCAATGACCACATCTCTAGCACTATTAGATAATATACATACTAAACTAACTAACATAATTACAAAATAGGCTCATACAATTCTTAACAACAATAATATCTTCAATGAAACAAAGGCAGCTTTACAGAGCTTAACAATAAAAGTTGTATTCAACAAGAGAGAAAAAGGATATTTATGCCAGTTCAAAGTCATTTGCCTAACTTTTGACATTTGTTTGATCATTCAGAGTTCCAATTGATTTGCCTAACTTTTAGATATCATCTAGTTCATAATTTCAAAGTGATTTGCCTAACTTGAGACAACACTTTCAAATTTCAAGATATATACCCAATACTTGTCTTTACTCTTAACAAATGTAAGGCCTTGTAGCATATCACTAATTGAGCTAATTTCCTCAAGCTAAGAATTTCATATGTTAGAGTAAAAGCAAGAGAATAAATGTGAATGAAGGCAAATTAAAAACGTGATCCAATTTAAGTTTCGTTGTATTTTATTATGATGTATGAGTCACTGAAAGTTTGTGAAATTTAATCAAGAGTCAAAATTGTGGTCAGCTCCCTTTAATTTCCTTGTCTCAAATTACGAGACATTGTTGGGGAATTTAATGTATACTTGTATTTATGTTTATCATAAAAAAAGAGGAAATTTTCAAACAATTTTAAGCAATTTTAATTTAATCTTCAATACTGTTTACTGCCTTAAATTTAAAACACTTTTTAAATAAAAGATTTCTGAAGTTCCTTAATATTTCTAAGTAAACCTTACATGATTATGAACAATATTATTGATTATACAGTAACTGTAAGGCCACAGATAATGTCTGTTTTACAATAAATTGTGGTTGATTGATAGTGTTAAGGATCGTTGTAAAACAGTTCAATTTTAATTTCAAATCTTGATATTAACATACATGCTTATAGTGGCTCAAAGATATAAATGTACATCCAGGCAATCAACAAAACAGCTTTCTTTATGCAAATAAGCAATCAATTTTTTACATTTAACTTTTCTACATTTCGCTAAAACAGTGGCATAAACATATTCTTTGTTGAATTTTGTTAGATTAGTTTGGTTTGACATGCACATTTAAAATACTACCTGATCTACCTTAAAGAAAGTGGACTAATCGTGACCATGTTTGGGATGTACATATCTATATTTGACCGACTATAGATACTGATAATAAAAAAAGGCAGCTGTATTGTATTAAACATCACATTAGTATAAACATACTTCATTCTATTCAGTCATCTTCACAAGCCAAGAATTTATCAATTTATCTTTTGAATGTGTTTAAAAAACAGTTAAGATAATTTTCTTTCTTTCAAAATGGATAAAAAAAATCTGAAAATTGTTTAAACTGTTGTATAAAATGTTCATTGTCCACTTGTATTCTAAAAATAACATAGAATAACTGGAAGGCAATATAACATTCACAATATTATAAAATCTTGGATGATGAAGATGACTTGAATAATATCAATAACAATTTTTGTAAGAATATAACAATAACAAGATAACAATAACAGTGAAAATATAACCAATATCCTCTCTTTATCTGAACTTGATATAATTCAGATTATTTTTTAGTACACTTATTATACTTCATCTAAAATTCAGATCCTTTCAGATTATATTTCAACACTCTAATAAGAAGAATGTCCTAAAATGTTCCACCAAGGGAATTTCGATGAATTTTCTGCACCACGTAACAGTGATTTGTTAATATCAAATATACAAATTTCTTAATATTATACAGAGTTTTCTTTAGGATGAATTCACTTCTTAGCATACATTTGTTTGTAAATGAAATCCATTATGTATGCTATTGGTTTCTCAAATGAGCAGAGACTACTTTGTTTTTGTGTATTGTCTGTAAAATTATCATGAAATTTAAGTTTCGCTTAGGCAACCTAAGAACAATCAAGTTCCACAATAGACTTAGGAACTTCAGCAAACTGATAAACTAATCGTTGTCCATCTACTTTATTTAAAATACCCCTGTTGTAGTAATATCTGAAAAAGATAATTAGTTTGAATATTAACTAGAGTTGTCTCCCATTATTATTTCTTTAAGGTTGAATTATTTATTGGCTTATTTACTGCCCACTGAGAAAACAAAAACAGTGACATTGGCCTACTCTTTTTCTGTTTCCCGCTGATAAGGGAATCAGAATTAATTAAGACTCTCTAAGATTTTCTTTTATAAGTTTTTGTCAATTACAACAAAACATTTTTGGATCATCACCATGGCAACATTTTACTCATACTGTATAGCACTATTCAATTTGATGAAAATATAGTTACCTACCTCATAGCTCTACCCATAGTTTCATAGTTCATATCTGGTTTATTTTTATGTAAACCCCATAACCTTGAGACAGCCTTCGAATCTACTAACTTAAATATTCCCTTTTCACGACTAGTCCATTTGATGATTCTTGGACAAGTTTCAGGATTTTGTAGTAATTGTAGTAAAAATTCCCATAAGTATGTGGTGTTACCTGAGAAGAAAGATATCAAAATGACTCAAAAAGGTTTAAGTCTTTGTATTTGTATTAGGACACTAACATGTGCTCTTTGCATTATGTCACAATTGTATATAGAGTTTAATGGAATTACAGAAGTCACAAATGTAGCTAGGTTTGAGGGTTTGACTGAATTGAAATCTTTTAGCAGAATAAAGCTCACTATCAGTAAATCTATTGAGATATAAGCAGGCCAAAGTGGTTGGCTAGGTAACCTCTTATTGCTTCTTAACAACACTTTAGATTCTGCAGGTGACATTGAGTTACTTGAAGGACTTACCTTCTCTCTTTCGTCTAGGTAACATTGGACTACCTGGATCAAATTGTAAATTATTGGATTTCGGTTTACGACCTAAAATACAATTATCTTTAAAATTATTCATAAATACATTGTTCACTAGAATTAACATTGTACATCAACCAATATTCACTGTACATTGGCCTGAGAAGCATTTTGTTTATGACAAGCTTCAATCTCCAATATATTCAGTGGGAAATGATTTCTTATGAAAGATGTTGTAAGATCACAGACAAGCTGGTAGTATGCATCACAGACAGTATCCTTATGAAATATGAATGAGTCTTTCTATTTCATTTCTTATAAACTTCAATATGTCAATTCCTTTTCTGTCTGGTGATTCAAAGATCATTGATAATAACAGATAAACAAAAACAGACAACAAACAAACACCAGACAACATGCAAACACCAGACAACATGCAAACACCAGACAACATGCAAACACCAGACAACATACAAACACCAGACAACATGCAAACACCATGCAAACACCAAACAAAATGCAAACACCACACAAAATACAAATAACAGACAACATGCAAACACCATACATCAAAACCCAACATACATTACAGCAAACAAAAGAAAACAAGAATTAACAACAGACAACTAGCAAACACAGACAACAGAGAACAAATAACGAACAACTTACCTCTCTTTAATTTGAGTTTTAATAAAGGTGGTGGAGGTTGTTGTTGAGGATGATGTATCTGTGTAGGATGTGGATGCCGAACATGAGGATGAAATACATTTTGGTCTTTTGGTGGAATAAATGATGGCATATCTACAGTATTTAATGCTTCAAATATATGACGATCTGGAATAGAAACACAAATCTAAACTTGGGATTTTGCTTGTAAATACTTGCATCTGCATTTTGATTATTTTAGGAATTGAGTTGATATTCCCAAGTATTATAACAAGTCTGAATTCTGAATCTACTAATCGAAAAATCTGATTGAGATCTAACTAAGCTATCTGTATTGCCTTCAGGATTGAAAATTAACATCCGTTTTTTGATTTAAATTTTCCAATTTTAGTCCATACAACTTACCTGGTCTCATGGCTATATGTGTTGCTGAATTAAAGTGAGCAGGAAGAGGTTGGTGAGCAGGTGGTGGTTGACAAAATGGTGGAAGGAATGGTACTGATACCAATGATGGAACATGGTGCCTTTGAGCATTGAAAAAAACTGAAATATCAGAATACATATGGAAATAAATATTCTATAATGTTTACATGTTAAATAAGTTAGAGATGTGACATACAAGATATTGTGACGATATGACTATTAATCTTTTATGGTGTCTGCACCATGCCAACTTTTTTTTCTTTATCAGAATGAGGTGCAAATATCTATTGTGACAGATTTTTCCAGATTTACTAGGTGGTAAGAAGGGATATGCAGTATTCATATACTATATTTGCAATTATAACCCTGAATTTTGTTGCAATTGTCCATATTTTATGTTTTGATGACAATTTTAGGCAAAAGAGTCCCACTCATAAGACCACTTGAAATTCTTATTATTAATAGGATTCTTCAGTGCATTTGGCGAGCTGTTGTTTACAACTAGTCATAACAAAAATATGACTAGTATTACAGACTACTGACTTTAATAATGTGAAGTTGATGAAGGAGCTGACATTTATAATTGGTCGCTTATTTTTATCTCAACATCTGTTTGAGGTTTCTCATCACTTTCATGGTTAATATCCTATGATCATTATTATTTGACTCTACACAATTTATTACCATTCTCTTGGTTGAAAACTTTCTCCAAGCTAGTTTTCTGTGTTAAATTAATACACCTTGTAAAAGCCAGTTTTTAGTGTTAAATACACCTTGTAGAAGCTAGTTTTCTGTGTTAAATATAATTTGTCAAATTTAGTTTTCTGTATTATATTAATATACCTTGTCAAAGCTAGTTTTTAGTGTTAAATACACCTTGTAAAAGCTAGTTTTCTGTGTTAAATATAATTTGTCAAATCTAGTTTTCTGTGTTAAGTAAACTTTATCAAAGCTAGTGTTCTCTGTTAAAAAATACTTTGTCAAATCTAGTTTTCTCTGTTAAAAATACTTTGTCAAATCTAGTTTTCTCTGTTAAATATACTTTGTCAAATCTTGTTTTCTCTGTTAAATATACTTTGTCAAATCTAGTTTTTTCTGTTAAATATACTTTGTCAAATCTAGTTTTCTCCGTTAAATATACTTTGTCAAATCTAGTTTTCTCTGTTAAATATACTTTGTCAAATCTAGTTTTCTCTGTTAAATACACCTTGTAAAAGCTAGTTTTCTGTGTTAAATATAATTTGTCAAATCTAGTTTTCTGTGTTAAGTAAACTTTATCAAAGCTAGTGTTCTCTGTTAAAAATACTTTGTCAAATCTGTTTTCTCTGTTAAATATACTTTGTCAAATCTAGTTTTCTCTGTCAAATATACTTTGTCAAATCTAGTTTTCTCTGCTAAATATACTTTGTCAAATCTAGTTTTGAGTGTTAAATAAGTGTCAAGTATGCTATGTGAAAGGCCAGTTTTCAGTATTAAATATACTTAGTCAAAGTTAGTTTAAACAACTTTAAAAGCTTGATTCCCTTGTTAAATATACTTTTAGTCAAAGCTAGTTTAAACTACTAATGTTACTTTATGAAAGCATGCTTCCAATATCAAATATAAATAGCTTGTTTTTAGTACGAAATATACTTGTCTAGCTTAATTCTGGTGCTTAAGAGATAAACCTGTCAAAGCTAATATTAAGTGCAAAATACACTCTGTCAAAAATAGTTTTAAGTATTAAAGTTATTTTATCAAAGCTTGCTTCTAAGGTAAAATATAATTGTCAAAGCTAGTTAGTGTTTATATACTTGTAGTTTGAGTAATTACATGCAGAGTAAATTACCTGAACTGGAATGATGTTTGAGGCGTATATCATCTGAACCACTTTCCACATCTGATACACCACTATCAGCTGGACTTTCAGGAGAAGATACTGGAAAATATTAAATAATAATATAGTCATTAGTAAATCAAATAATTTAAAGTCTTATTCTATGTTGTTGGGCTTCAGGCAGTAGAGAGAGTACAAATAAGTCAATTTTCTGAAGTCATTATCTGAATATAACAGGTGTTGTACACTATAAACTAGTAGATTGCTAGTTATGTAATTTTACCTGCCACTTCTTTTCCAGTTCATATCAGTGGTACTTATATAGGATTGCTGTTAAATTTACCAAACTAAATGAATGCATCATATCAAGAAAGGAATCCAGAACAAGTTTGGTTTTATATTTTTATTTATTTTTTATCAAAATTTCAAGAGATATGACCATAAAAATAATCTATGTCAATGGATAATCAAAATCTGTAAAGTTTTCAAACTTAGTCAAACTTAGCCAGATGGACATATATCCACATGCTCCTGTTGATAAATCACCTAAGCATGCAATTTATGACGAAATCAAACAAAAATCTGTCACATATTTTTCCCTCTTATATTTTAAAGATTAATTGCTAACTATATCGCTTTATGTTATAATAAATTTTAAAGCGCAGTAAGAAAAAAACTTCTCAGATACAAGAATCTATACTTCCAAAAAATACATCTAAAAACACACATTAAAATACATGTAACTGTTAAATCAATTAAATTTTCCCACAGGCAAACTTAATTTTTACATTAAATGTGGGTCAAAAACTCAAAATGCTTTGAGGGAAATGAAGTGCAAATTCAAATCAATATCTACACAAATCTTCGCATTTGTCAGATGATAAATCATAAAAGGAAAGCAAATGCCAGTTGTGGTATACGCCCAGGTTCTATCTAATGACGACCTGTAGTGTCAGCGTATTCAACACTTAATTTGTTTTCAAATCATCACCAAAATGCAGGGATCAACCAAGATAACCTTTACTTTGATGCAAAAATACTCATCAAAATTGAAAATATTCTACCAAAAGCTGTAGCTGAAAGAATTAGCAAGAGCTTGGACCTAGAAATTGCAGCTAAACTAAATGAAATCTGTTCATTAGTGAAAAATAACAACCATATTCAATACAGGTTACCATAACATAGGTATTAACCTTCTAACATTCTAAGACATTGCTACAGACAAATCCATTTTTATATTTTGAATTGTCATACTGAAATCATGTCTAACAGCAAGCAAAGACTAACAACTATCTATTATTATCATTGATTATCCTATATCGTATTATAGTCTGAACTAGGAGAGGTTGCAAGGTAGGGGTGGAGGATATCTACAGTAAATTAATTACCTGATTCTCGTTGATAACAATGTGATGGATCAGCAGAACGTAGTTTTTGATAATTTTCTTTAGAATCAGGGGACATATCCCACATTCCTTCTCCACCATTGTCTGTTACCGGTAATGTTCTTGAATCACAATTTGTTACTGTAAAAAACAAACAACAGACCACATTAATGTTTTAAAAATTACATTCAGTAATAAACAAAGCAAAAAGGTTCTTGATGGTGAAAGAAAATGAGCAAAAGAATGCCAAATTCATCTTGAAGTTCATTATAAAATATGAGATACCAAGGCCATGGTTTCCATTTTCGGGGGTAGTTTTGGTACTAGCTGCCCCAAGCAGAAGAAAGAATTTGGGTGAAGAGTGATATTATTCTTTATAAACCCCTATATCGTCTTGGTTTGGC